GTGAGACTTCGAGATGTCGAATGTCGAACAGCGTGATGGAGGGCCTGCTGGCGGAGGCGGTCCGGATGATCGGAGGCGATATAGGCCTCCTACATGCTTCTCATGCAACGAACCAAGGCACTACGTGAACCAGTGCCCAAATCGAGTCGCAAGGCACCATCACCAAGCAAGACCATCAACTTTTGCGGACTCCCGCGGATCTCGATCGCCGAGAACATACGACCCTCGAAGAAGAACGGAGTCACCAGAGAGGGATTCAGAGATAAGAGCGAATGTGATGAAGTTGAGTAAATGGGTGTCAACCATATATGACTTTGTCGAGCAGCAGAATCTGAAGAAGGAGGAGAAAGCACGAAAAAAAACGGGAGATGAAGGAAGTTCCGAGCGCGAGGAAGCCGAGCAACTGAGACAAGAGTCAAAAGAGGCTCGGGCGGAGGAGAAGGCTCGGAGCGCGCAGAAGAGCAGAAGAACGTCGTGGATGCTGAGAGGGAGAGACGATTACAGATGAAGAAAGACGATGACCTCTCCGTGGCAATCAGGATTAACGAGATGGAGGACAGTTGGTTCCAGAGGCTGCACAGAGTGATCGGACCATTATACACTACAGCTGACAAGAAAGGAAAGAAGACGGTTACTTACGCTTCCAGCCTGGTGTCCGATCATGAGAGTGAAACCAGCGATACGAGTGTCAGACAGGAGTTGAGCGATCGCACCTCGAAGCTACAAATTTCGGAGAAACGAAAACGGGGACCTGAGATCGTACTCGAGGATAGCCCGCCTATGGAGAAACCGCCCAAGCGAACACCGAAGCAGGGAGCACTAAGACCTGTAAAGTTGACAGTCCGCATGACTAGGGCAAAAGCACGAAGATTGTCGAGTACCATGTCATTAAAGATGACTCCCGGGCGACCGACAACCGTAAGATCACCGGTGAAGATGTCGTTATCTGGGCGGAAAACCCCGAGGACACCGAGGACGGTTAGAGCGACCTCTCCACAGATGCCGCTGTGCGCTCCTGTTACGCGCGGTGCCTTGGAACGTCTGCGGTATCGGAACAAGATGATCGATGAACTAAAATCACTTGATGCTGTGGAATTACAGAAGTTGTGCAAGAAGGAGGGTATTCCTTACGATGGGAAGATTGAGTCGATACTCGATATTGCCGACATGAAGACAATGAAGAAGTTCGGCACTACGACGCAGAAGATTGCCGAAGTGATAAGTGTCGAAGAATCGGAGGACCTGGTGGGCGGCTCGGACTGAGAAGTCGGATCTGACGATGTGGTGGTCTGAGGACCTTTGGAGACGCCGAAACTATGGAAGCTTTGCAAATACATCTCTGAGTTGATAAGGGAGGCGTACACGTTTGACCAGAGAGTGGAAGAACTGCTATGTCTGCTTATCCTGAGCCTGGCAATGGATGGACGAATCCGATGGTTGGGTAAGTGCGTGAAGAATTGGTTGCGATTGTATGAGAAGTACGGTCTTGAATTTCTCAGGTTGTCTAAATGTGTATATATTGGGGCCTCGCAGTATTGTAAGTCTCTCTATGTCGGGAAAACTACACGTAGCACCCTAGTGAGATGGCGTGAACACATATATGCATGTCGAACTCGGAAACAATCGCACTTCCATAGATGGATCTGCACGTTTGGAATTGGGAAGTACGTACTAATTCTCGTTGACGTTCTCGAAGGTACTGACTTAGGCAATCTTGAGAGGTTGTACATTCAGCAATGGTCACCATTTCTTAATACTGTCGGTTATCGGGTAGCTGAAAATTCAGGAATGAAAATTCTGAAGTGAGAGTTTTGGGCAGTCTGAAAATCCCGAATGGTTCTGAAGTGGTGAAAGGTCCGAATACCCTGAAAACCACCTGTTTAGGCAGGCTGCATCCTGAAGTGGTAAAGGGTGTCCTGAAGTGGTCAAGTGAGAGTTTTGAGCAGTCTGGAAATCTTGAATGGTCCTGAAGTGGTGAAAGGCCCGAAGACCATGAAAACCACCCTTGACCTGTTGAGGATGCAGCCTCCCTAAACAGGTGGTTTTCAGGGTCTTCGGAGCTTTCATCACTTCAGAACCATTCAGGATTTTCAAACCTAAATGGTCCTGAAGTGGTGAAAGGTACGAAGACCCTGAAAACCACCTGTTTAGGCAGGCTGCATCCCGAAGTGGTGAAGGCTGTCCTGAAGTGGTGATGAAAAATACGACTGTTGTTAACCTTCTCTCCTGAGAACATGCCCCCCCCCCCTTGCTCTGCTGGGGACCGAGTTTGGAAAAGGAATACTGCAACTTGGCGGTGATTTTCCAGACCGCCGACCATGTAGAAACGCCACGTCAGCATTTCGGCAACCCGTTTCCATCAGCGGTCGGGTCTGGTAAACCTTTCCAAAGAGGCTTTCCACACCTCTTTCAATGACCAATGGGGTCTCCAAAATGATCGAGCGTCTTTTTTTTTCCAAGCCGTCGGCCAGTGGGGTCCACCTCTTAGGCTTGGACCCCACAGAGAAAAACAGTGGAAAAACCGGTGTGGAAAAGTTTATCTCGGACTCTATCGGACAAAGCAGGCCCTCCGGAAAGACGATATCGGGACAACAGGGAGATTTTCTTGGACCCCATAACCTGGAAAACGGTATTTGCAAAAGCCACATTTTTCGTTTTCACATCGGTTTTCGGTCGGAAAAGTGGTTGTGGAGGAGTTTCCACCATATTTTTGTGCCCTTTCCAGAGAGTAGGGGGGGTGGGGCATGTCCATGGTTGGAAACTCCTCGGCAACCCACCGGCCCATCCATTGTCCGCCCGGAGTCATTCCCTGATCCACTTGACAGGGCTACAGACATGCTGTTGTCACCCAATAGGGGGGGACAACAGAAACAGGTGCAAGGCCCTTCAAACAGACATCAGCGACTACCATCCATTCCATCTCCAGTTTCCAGTCTTTCCAAGCTCGTGGAAACTGGCTTTTTCCAGCCACTCCGTTGGGGTCCCGTTGGGAAGCAATGTGATCTTTACCCCAGCTCTCCAAATTGCCTGTCAGAAAAGAACTTGGGAGTTGTCGGGAAGGCTTTTCCAAGAGCACTCCCGAATTCTTTCGTGCAGGCAATGGGATGGGGGACCTCTGGGAGGCAATCTACTTTGCTATTGTTTCCGTGAGTATGTCACTACTGACATAGTAGACGTACTCTCTCTTGTCATAGATGTTAGAGGGAAGTGACTCACTGCACAAAAGAAGACACACTGCCCTCTCAAGTCTCGAATTTGAGAATAGGCCGTTCAAAATGCAGTGTGGTCATGAGTGCTCTTGATGGTCATTTCCTAAATCCTTGCGCTCGAGAGTGCTCCCGGAAAAAAAATAAGATTCGGGAGCGGTGTGGCAACTCTGGCGAGGCCCTATGTCCGCCTTTTGTTCCTCTTTTTCTCTCGTTCCTATAGGAGCCATTTCACGTGCTGCTCCCGAGTCCCCACGAATAGATTGGAGCATTGTTGTTAGAAAAAGAAAACAAAACAAAAAAAAAACATGGCATTCTGTCTCCTCCTGTCTTTTGGTGATCACGCCATACATTTTCCTGAAGAGATGCCCCGTGTTGCTTTTTTGTTCGGTTTGAGCATCCTCTACAGACCACAATTAGAGGGTGATATGAGCACCTTCAAAGTTGTAGTCTGTTGCTTGATGACTCCGGTCCATTGGTGGGGAGCTTCACTTGCTGGAAAACGGGTTCAGCATCCCATATAAGTACAATAGGAAATCCACTATTCAATCACTTGATGTTTCCCTCTTATTAATGGTTCGAACCGAGGGGGTTCCTTGGTTCCCTAATCTAGTCCATCTTCTATCCTCCTGTAGTTGTTGTGGTTCCACGACTGGCCGACCTCTTGAGTCATAAAACGATGCCACCGTCCGCCAACGGGTTGTATGGAAGAGGTTGAGGGTTCGAACCTGACCAGGCCGGGCAGATTATACTTGTACAGAGGTGCCTTGGAAGTGGGCAGGGGTATTGTGGAGGGGTAGATCATGCAAATTCGTTACCTTAGCCTGAGGGCTCTGCTTTGGAAGGCGCAGGGCCGCATGTGGGATGAATAGGGGGGTCCCGTTAGTGGAGGGATTAGGTAGGAAAACCCTGAAGTAGGGCCTCCCTACGTCCCTACGGGATAAAACCGGGATAAGCTCGCTCAATTATAGAGGTAAGAGGAACGGATGGTGGCCTAGTACGTACCGATGACTGAGACCAGTGCTGCTCTGCACGAGGAATCTAGGGGGGATCTCGTAGTAGGGGTTGTCCTAAGGATAGAACTGGTGGGGTTGCCCACTTCCCACATTGACAAAGAGAACACAACCAACAACGATCAGAACAAACAACAATACCATAACCTCCGGGTCTAGGAGGACGTCTATATGTAGAGGGGTAGATGGTTAGCGCACATCTACTGATAAGAGGCTGGAACCTCCGGGTCACAATCATAACAACTAACAATGACCACAATAACAACAACACAACCCAATCAATGTGACTAGAGAGGGGTCCAGGGGGATCATGTCCATAGGTAGAAGGGCGGATGGTGGTCGTTCATCTACTGATAATAGGCTGGAACCAGTGGTACATATAATGAACAACACAACAACAGTTTTTTTGGGGGGGAGGGGATAGGAATGGGTCCACCTATGGGGCGTGTAGAAGAATGTCCATACCCAGCCCTAGAAGTACTTGTACGACAGGCCTCATCCAACCGTGCTTCAATCGGGGCTGAGCTGGGTACAGTGGGTAGGAGCGTCACAATCCTGAGTGTTAGACACTGAGGTAGGATTGTGGGAGTAGGGCGGGCAGGCGGGGAGCAAAGAAAAGGGGAGCTACCTGCGCACCCACTCCCGCGAGGCCGCTTTACTGCTGCTCCCTGCAGTCCGTTGCCTGTTGCCGCTCTGTTCAACTCGACGGCAATTAATCAATCAATCAGTTAATCAATCAATTGTCAATCAATATGTCAATCAGTCAAACTGAGTCAATCGT